AACGAAGGGATTGCCCACACTTGYCCATGAAATAGCCTTGGAGTCAATTGTCCAATTACTTTTGGTCCATTTATAAACAGGGTGGCACATGTTAAGGAGCTGAAACTCCTAAACCCTTCATCCAGTTTTAATGTGGATACCCTCAAATGAATGCTGAATGTCTGGAATTTATCTCCATGTACATTATAAAATTGTAACTTGAATATGTTTCAGTAAACAGGTAAAAAGACAAAATTTGTGTCAGGTCCATATAAATTTGGACACTTAACTGTATATTGCTAGCAAAAAGAGACCGTTGAGTTTGCAACTGTGCCAGTTGATGTATTCCATCGTAGAAACAATGCCAACATTGCCAGACCTGGCCCACATTCGGTGGACAAACCACTTGCCATTTCAGCAGTCAGGCAGCAGTGCCAGCTTGACACCAGATATGGCCCACACCTTTCTGTTATGCGGGTGGCGAACACATGCACACAAAAATGCTGTAACCCTGTTAGTTTWATAGATATTGACCTAAGGTGTTATTTAGTAATAGCTGATATTGATTCCCAACAAATATTCTTAGTGATAACCGATTGCACAAGATCTTCACTTCAACTGTTGGTGTACGTGGTTCTGACTTATGTAGAACCACTTCTGGCAAATCACATCTGGGCCACCACAGGACCCTAATTATTTGCTGTAACAGGGCCAAGTGTTAGTTCATTGTATGGGCCATAACTGATAAATTTTGCTATATGGGTAAGGTCAATTGGCTSTGGCAACCATCTTRAATCAGGYTTTCTCCAAAAGTTGACCAGCTGCAGATGCGCATTTGGTGCTTATGTTGTGGAAGGGTTGATAAAAGCCATGGTTCTGATTGGAGATATTTTAGTAACAGACACAAACACAAACACACACACAGACATTGGCAAACATATTATTGCCATCTGCCTCTCAGCTGTGGTTGATAATACAGTCATAAACTTGTCAGAAAAAATGTTTTTACTGAGATTAAGTGAGAATAAGTTAAAATTGATGTCACTTCCTTTTTTTTTATCTTCTTCCCAAAACACTTGTTTGTGTAACAGGCGAATCCAGGCTTTATAGCCGTAAGAAATATTGCAGGTTAAAGCGTGTCTGCATTGGCTTCAGTTTTCAGACAAGGAGATTCGAGTTAGTTTGCTTTTTTTAGATGGTCTGTGCTTATGTACCAGTTTTGTGTGGGAGTCATAATATTTTCACTTGTGTGGGTTCATGGTAATAGATGTCTCATCTCTTTGTTTGTGCTGTTTCCACATACTTGCGAGGCRATACATTTCATAACTGACTGAAAACCCAATATTCTCATACCAGGTAGATAAGTGGTGTTTGTGAGGCCGTGCTTCTGGAACCAGCAGGCTCTATCAAATAACATAGCCTCAGTATGTAACCATGTTATTTGATCTCCTCTCTCTTGTGAGGCAATATCTTTGCATACTGTTTTTTCAGCCTTTGTAATAGCTTGACTCTACGAGGAGAACTTCTTCAGAAATGTTGKATTGTTTTTTTTTTCACACTGAGCTGGACTTTTTTAGACTCTGTAGTTCAAATACACTTTATAGACTTTACACRGCCCCTAAATTTCACCTGGATGATTCATTAAAAGCAATTTAGGTTATGAAATTTAATCATGACAATTAATGATCCGGTTTTGGGTTAATTAAAMCAGTATTGTAGATTTTATGGCTTTTGAAATTTTTATTATCTACCATTTGCATTTCATGCCACCAAAAGGTAATAGCAGAACAATAATGTAATTATACAGTATGTGTGCATGTTTTTGTTATCAAGCCACAAGCAAATCTAGGTTTTCTAAGTTCATTTGTTAAACGTTTTYAACACACTTTGTTTTTATCTTGTGGTTTAACTATATATGATGCATCCAACTTCCATATACTGTATATCCAGCTTATAAATGATATAATTGTCATGAGGAAGTCTTAAAAAAAGAAAAAATTATATCATGAACCTAAGGCATTTTAAAGGGGGAGGGGCATTATACAAAATTAACTTTTTTTGAGCATCATATCATGCTATAATGTCGTTCCCTCATCAAAAATGTACCCAGAGTGTTGTTTTGACTCATTCATGCATGTTAGAGAAATCCTTGAATCTCTGGTGGTAGCAATTCAGAGCTGCCTAAATGTTTCCTTGTACAAAGCACCGCCTAKTTACCCAAAGCTCCTCCCTGGAGCTCAGTCCCCAGCTGAACTCCAGCTCCACAGATCATCCCTCCCCCATATCAGTGTCGTGAAGATGTGCTGAAGTGGGAGTGTCAGAAACAGTAGGAGGTTCTTAAAGAGACAGAGGCCAATTTCAAGGCATTTTGACAGGCAAAGTCAATTTTATTTTTATATATATATTTATAATAACTGAAGGCAACATAGTTGATTGTGGTGTAGAATTGAATTATGTGCCTGGAAAAAACATTAAAATATTAAATTATATATTAAAACATTTCACAACATCCTACCTTTTAACAAACTAACTCAGAACTTTGTGGAATGGTGCCAGAGGAACTGTCTGCAGATCAACACAGGAAAAACAAAAGAACTGGTGGTGGACTTCCGCAGGTCCAAACACTTGCCTTCTGTACCAGTGAACATTCAGGGAATGGACATTGAAATCGTGAGGTCCTACAAGTACCTGGGTGTTCACCTTAACAACAAGCTGGACTGGACTGACCACACAGCTGCCCTCTACAAGAAAGCACTGAGCAGACTGCATCTACTGAGGAGACTCAGGTCCTTCGGTGTGCGGGGGGCTCTTCTCAGGACCTTTTTTGATGCTGTGGTGGCATCAGCCATCTTCTACGGAGTGGTCTGTTGGGGCAACAGCATCTCCACTGCTGACAGGAAGAGACTGAACAAGATCCTCAGGAAATCCAGCTCTGTCCTGGGGTGTCCTGTTGACCCAGTGGAGGTGGTGGCAGAGAGGAGAATGAGGACTAAGCTCCAGCACATGCTGGCATACCCTTCCCACCCCATGCACCTCTCTCTGACAGCACTGAGCAGCTCCTTCAGCGCCCGGCTGCGGCACCCTAAGTGCGTGAAGGAAAGATACCGCAGGTCTTTCCTTCCAGCCGCCGTCAGACTGTACAATACCCACTGCTCTATGTAGTTCGCCACTCTCTACTACAGGCAATAAACCTGGAAATTGTTTATTTACTTATATTTCGAATAATACTGTTTTTTAGTATTTCTATATTCACTTGATTTTACTGTGTATATATAGTTTTTCAAATTGGTTTTGCTTTTTTATACTGCTGTAACAATGTAAATTTCCCCACTGCGGGATTAATAAAGGAATATCTTATCTTATCTTATCACTTAAATGTAATATAAAGCATTTACTCCTCTTAGAAACCCAAAACACTGAACAATAATTAATAGCCATCTGTCTTTGTTGCATTTAGTTTAAGCAAATAATAGAAATCAAAGTGAAATAAAATTTAAAATCTGAAAGAAAAAAGTGAACGTCAGCCTGAAGCATCTCTGGTGTTCAGCTCATTTCTTCTGTAACAACCAATTTCAATTCAGGTTTGAAAGACTACCCAGCCATGGAGGAACTTGATGCCATTTTAAGCTCAAGCTGATTCAGTGRACTTTTGCCTTCCAGTCCACATGTCCAAGCTCCATGGTTGTGTTTATTAGCTTAGCCTAATTGTGCGTAGTATCTAAAGGTCAGTGCCTGCTGCGGCGCATCAYTCCCCCAAAATGGCTTCAAGGTGACACGGTTTCCAATGAATAAACACTGAAAAGTGTACCAACTTCAACCCTTCTGTTGCTATCGTTTACCACCGTTGTGCGGCAATCTTTGATTTTTTTTCAGCCTTGCACAAGCTCTTGTGACTGATGGGCATTCACTGGTATGCACTGCCTGACTGACTTCCATTTCAACTGGCAAAAGGCTGCAGATTAATTCGCTTGTCAGTTGTTTTCCCCTGCAGGAGCCTTTGTCTGTTGAGACAGGAGGAATGAAACATGTGCTCATCAGAGAATTAAAACATGCATTTAGTTTATACAATGCATTATTAAGACATAAATTTTATTGGACTTCTGAAGGCTAAAACTTATTGTTGAGGTAAAAATTAATTTAATGAGCAGATGTTTTGAATAGATAACCACATATAAGGTGAGCTGAACTGGAGATGGTTAACATGCAGCTTAAAATCACTTAATGGGTTTTCAGAATGCAAAATCATCAAGCTTGATACCAGTACTAAAAAAATACTTACTAGTCAGTACCATTTTTTTCARTAATCTACTCCAGACTAAGATTTATCTGATTCACCAACAAACATCCATCCATTCATCTCTTCTATCCACCATCCAGAATTCTTGTATGGTTCGCTCTTTAGGTTTTCAGTTTAAAATAAAACAAGAATTAACAAGTAAATAGGTATTTTTTGTTGTTGTTGTTTTAAAATGAAATTTATTTTGGATTTAGATAGCTGAAGCAAAAATTAAACTCTGAGGATTTTTAATTTGTTCAAATTTCCATTTATGTTTTAAAATCATAAAGTCAACAAGAATTTTTTTTCTTTTTGCAGTTTTGTTTTGAAATAGAAAAACCAAAGAATGAACTATTCACGGATTATCCAGCTATCCCTTTTTTTTTCTAAATCCAAAATTGGGATGCATGGAAGCATTAAGTGTTTATAAAAACAGTAGTAGATACTAGTGAGGACAGTCATTGCTAGGCCATATTTGATTACCTAACGTGGTACTGTTATACACACCAAATTGTCCGATATTGGTGGTGAGCACCAGTGATGAGGCTTTTTGTTACTTAGCTTATCATCAATGCGCCTCAACAAGCAGAAGTTTAGATAACAAATCCCTGAGCTTTTGTTTTAGGGGTCAAAAGCTAAAATCTTCAGAATCCATTGTGCTACAGTAGGAGGGAACAAAAAAGCTACGTATTGTTTGGTGTGATTTGACGGTAGAGATTGCAACTGATAGTGCTCTTTCCCCCAGGTTTTGTTGGGGGGTGGCCATGAAATGGATCTGACAAAATTTCGACACACATTCTGGGAAATCCTGACACGAGGCGACAATGTCAAGGTAGGATTTGATGCTCTAAAAACTAAAAAAAGTTTTTTCAAAGTTAATATTTTTCATTTTGCCCCTACTTTGTTGAAATAAAAAACTAAAAGGAAAGAAAAAAAATCTATGTAATGGTCCTTGTGAATCTATTTTGAATGGTTTTTCMTTGTGTGAATGTTTGTGAAAGTTACAAAAAAGACCTGGTCCAAATCAGTACTATACACCAAAAAGGTTGATTATATCTGTTCAGATCAAATGGATCTTGTTTAATCACCCCTGCTGATAAAAGCARTAGGTTTAAAGGAGACATATCATGCTAAATGCACTTTTTTGCATTCATAAACTAGTTTTTGTGCAATTATAGTGTCTAGGAGTGTAGAAAACTTTAATTTATTCTGTCCAGTTACTGCAAAGATATTTTAATATTTTTTTATGGGTCAAATTTTTCAGTTTGTTCAAAATCTGCTGTTGCTTATTTCGTTTCATTGTTTATTTCATCACACTTTTTTCTTTGGAACTACCATTTATGGTAATGTATTTCCGGCCAACTGGATTTCATAGTCCACCATTTTTTTCCTCATTGTGTGATTTTGTAGTTCATAGTGTCATGCCGAATATGCAAGTTCAGAAGTCAAAATGTTCGGTTCTGGGATGTGTAAACCCACATTATTATCTACATAGACTACCAGCGTCAGAGCAGAGCTTCTTCAAAGTGCCTGGTTAAGTTTTATTTTTCAAGGAAATGGACCCACAACAGGGCGGAAAGTGCTTGCGGACAACACAGGATGAAGTAAGTAAGTAAGTAAGTAAGTAAG